GTGTGAGGGAGGCGAGCATCTGCCCTGACAGGTCGGACCCCCCCTCAGTGTGGCTTCTCAGGGTCTGAGGCCAACTTAGTGGGGGAGAGTCACTGGCCTGAGAGGGCCTGGGAGCCTGAGGCCATGGTCAGGGGCCTGGGAGCTGCTCCTCAGCCCGCTCTGACCCGTGCTGGCTTCCCCACCTGGGGCTCATTGATTAACCGCTTAGAATCCTCAGTTTCCCCATCTAAGAAATGGGAAGATAGTTATAATAAGAATGCTTTGCAAACTGAAATGGAGACAAGTTTGGGACTGAAGATGACTTAGCTCTGTACCTGCAGAGGATGGTGGGCTGATGAAAATGAGGTAGAGTCCTGGATTTGAAGAAGTCCCCGGTGTTTTCCAGCAGGGACACGCGTGGGCTGGCTCTGTCCTGTGTCCCTGCCAGCACCGTGGTGCTCATTCCCTCTCTAGACCCCTCCTCCCACCCCCTTAGGCAATGGTTTTCATAAGCAAACCCCTGTCCCACACAGGTGCTCACCAGGGGTGGGGGGACATGGGAGGGCAGAGCTGACGTGCCCCTGAGCGTGAGCAGTAGGGGACCTTCCCAGATTGGGACTGGGGAATAGGCCAGTGTTGAGTGTTCTCCTGCCCGGGACGCCGCAGAGCCATGGCAGGGAGCACAGACTCAGGCGACTTCTTGGGGCCGCGCAGTGGATGGGACGGCAGCTGCAGTGACGGGCAATTTTTTTGTAGAGTTTGTTAATAAGATTTTAGGTCCTGACTCTTGAATTGCTGTGTGACTTTCTGCAGATCATGCAACCCCTTAGGACTTGGGGTGAAATCCGTAAACTGGGTTTAATACAGAGCATCCTTCCCGCCTTGAGTGCACGGTCACGGCTTCATTCCTACCAATTTAGCCTTGGGGTCTGAGCAGCTGAGGGTGAAGCCCAGCTACCCTGGGCTTAGGGTAGTGCTGCTGCCCTAGGAGCTGGAGGTGAGAGTCTCCAGATATTGAGGGTGTTCAACCAGGGAGAAGAGGCCAGGGCCTTACCCTCAGTAGCCGGTGGTGAGTGGGAGGCAGCTGAGGCTGTGCCCAGGAGGCTGGGTTCATTCCACTCCTGCCGCCCAGTGACTGCGGGTGCAGGAAAGTGACCACTGATATCTATGGAAAATCAAAATGGAAATTTGATTCATACTTTAAGTGGTGTAAAGAGAGAGGACAGTGCCCAAAGTGGGAGCCTCACCTGCTCGGGCACTAATGGTGTGACTGGCACGCACGCCTGGGTGTGACACACTGGCGTTGGTGAGGAGGGCTTCTGGGGCAGCGCTGTAAACCCAGGGAGCCGGCTGAGGGGCGGAGGGACGGGAGGTTCCCGGGACAGGCTGGCTGTGTCCAGAGGAGCAGGGTCTCCCCAGCCCAGGGCCAGGCCTATCACAGAGGGAGGCTGGCTGTTCATGGGCTCAGTGGGCAGCTGCCTAGTGAGGTCCTCCTGCAGGCGCTGGGATAGTACGCCTGATCCAGATGGCCTCGCTGGGCTCCAGAGCTCGCGGTTAGCCCCGCCTCGGGGTGGGAAGAGCCGGAGCTCACTCGGGTGAAGCTTTGCTTCCTCTCTTGCCTCTTCCTCCTAATGTTTCCTCTGCAGCCGAGCTCGCGGGCAGGCAGCCTGCCATGGGGTCCTGCTCAGGAGACCCCCGCCTCTGCTGGGCCACGTGGCTCCTGCGATGCGCCAGCCTCCTCCTCAGTGAGTGGCCCGGGATGCCGGGAGGGGCGGCTGTTGGAGGAGCTGGGAGGCAGGGTCTCCTTGCCCCTCTGATGTCTTTGGTGAATACAAAGAGAAGACAACTCTTATTATTTAGCAAATGTAGTGCGTTTGCCTTAGAGCCCTGGGCTGGCTGGAAGAATAAAATGGTCTTTGCCTCTGGGAGGCTGGGATCCCTGACTCTGGGACTCTGCCCTGGGGCAGCCTTGGCTGCATTAAGGGGACCATTGCTGGGGGGCAGGTGAGGCAGTTTCTGTAACAACACCAGGGAAGCCAGAGAGCCTGGAGCCTCCTGGGGGGAGGGATGGAGAGGGACAAAGAAGCTGGCTCTGGGGACGCTCTGGGGACAGAGGGTGGGAATGGAAACCCCCGGCCTGAGCTCAGAGGGTCCTGACAGCCCTGCAGCTGTGGTGTGGAGGAGGGGCCCACCTAGCACCCATGTCCCAGATGGTGGAGCAACTCTAGTCCCCTTCCTTGAGCAAGACGTGGGCCACTGCACAGAGTGACATTCTGATTGTGTAAAAGGAACAGCAGCTCCAAAATGTAAGGGTGTCAGTCAGTGCACCCACCTGTTGCGAGAGATGGAGAAATGTGGAAGGAAGGGGTGGATTGCCTGCCTCCTGGGCCTCAGGAGAGGGTGACCTGGGGAGGAGAGAGGAGGGGAAGGGAGGGGGTGGGGGGGTTAATAACAAAAAAGGAACTGAAGGAGAGGCTGCTCTAAGGCAGGCAAATTTCAATCTATGACTTCATCGGAGGTGATGCTCATCTATAATGAAATGAAATCAAACACTGAGAGGACAATACGGCCTGTGAATCATGATTCTGGGGAAGCCGAACAGCCTCACTGAGGGATGGTGGTGTTTGTGTACCCGCGCCTGTGGGACTGCAGGGGGCTGTGAATGGAATGGGGCTGAGGGCTTGGGGCACAGGACGGCCTGAATGACAAGGAGCTTTGCAAGGCATGAGGCCCCCTTGCCCTGGGGACTGGGTCACAGTGATGTGTGGGCCTCCTCTTCTCTTCAGTTTTATGTAACTGGAGAAATATGCTAAATGATGTAGAGCTTTTTCCAAAGGCCCTCAGGTTTGAAAATTACATAAGAAAGAGACAAGGAGTCAGAAAATGGGACAAAATTATGATTGTTGAGTGTTAAATTTTATATTATTTGAATAATTTTTCCACTCCCTTGCTTACACACATGCCCTCACCTGGCTTTGTTCTCTCCTCTGGGCTTAGATCTTGCAGATCTGAAGCCCCTGCTGCCTTCCTCCTCTTTCTGGCTCTTCTCTTCCTCGCAGCTGCTGCTCCCCATCCAGCCCCTGGGGGACCCTCCCTGCAGCCTGAGGGCTGAGCCCCTGTTTGCCTGCTTCCCTCCTGCCCAGTGGGTGGGGGTCTGGCTGGGCTGCTGATGGGGCCCTCAGTGAGCTGGGAGCCCCCACCCTGCTGAGCCCTCTGAGAACTTGGTCTCCTTTCCCAGCAGGTAAGCTGCAGGCCGAGAGTCCAGGAACCTCTCAGGTCCTGGTGACAGACAGCAGCGCTGGAGGGGGCAGCTCCTGGGGGAGGGGCAGGGAAAGGGGGAGGCTGGTGGGTGGCTCCCTGCAGGGGACACCTCAGCCTGGGACCCAGGAGAGGCTCTCCCCTAGGGAGCCTCCTCCCCTGTGAAAGGAGGGGCCTGGGGAATCCCCTGTAAGGCCCTCCCTGGGGTGACATCCTGGGATTCCCCAGACAGGACTTCCTGGGCTACTTCAAGGCCTGCTCTCTGTGTCTTCGCCCTGTCCTGTCCCTCTCCTGGGTCCTGGCAGGACTGCCGGCTGCTGAGCCTTGGGGACCCCTGGAAGGGGAAAAACCCTGCAGCCCCCGGGTGCTTCCTCAGCTCTCCTTGTGGTGGGACTCCTCCCCCTCCAGCCTCCCCCACCTGGCCCTCTGCTTCCTCTGTCCCTGCTCCTGAGAGGAGCGCTCAGCCCACCCGCTGAAGGATGTCCTCTCCTCCCCACAGTGTGCACCAGGGTCTGCAGAGCGCTCAGAAAGCTGCCGCGGCTGTGCCCTTGAGAAGCGCTAACCAACAGCCTCGGCCAGAGCGGTGCTATTTCTGTGTGGTTAACAGAACATATTAGCTCTCTTCTCCCTGTCCCGTGGTGCTGAGTCCCTGTGACTACAGCTGGGTGGAAATACACTTGTTGGTCAGATTAAGTGGTGAAAAGCCCTTAGGAAGGTCTCCCGCTGCACACTGAATGCTGCCCCCTAGTCGGTACCGCCGCACATTTCCGCCTATTGGGACAAAGGGATAGTTTCTGTGAAAGTTACCCGCTAAAGGAACGGGAAAATGTGCACAGCAAGCACAGTCCACAATATAACTTTTTTCCAGCCCAAGCTTGGGACAGCCTGTAGCCTGTCCTTCCCTGCATCCCTTCCACTCTCCCCGGTGGCACAGATGGCCTCAGGGACTTGGTGACAGGAGAGGGGACAGTGGCCGGGGAAGCCTGCAGCTGTGGTCACAGCACTGAGCTTCCTCTCAGTCAGGGCTCTGGGAAACAGGAGGGCACCCGACTCCCTGCACCTCCTGGGGGACGTCCCCTGCGAGGCTGTGACTCCCTGGAGGCGTGCTGTGCCCAGGAGGGGACCCTGAGAGGGGCAGCTGGGGGAGAGGAGCAGGCTCCCCCCTGGGAACTGGGGGCGCCTGGGGTGGATCCGGGTTTGCTTGGTTAAGAATAATCATCACCCTAAAGAGAGCAGCTCCCATGTGGGACAGCTACTGAATGCAGTGCTCAGAGCTTTCCTCTTCTTAATCCTAACGGTGATTCTGAGAGGGAAGCACTGTTACTCCTTCCATTTCAGAGATAAGAAAGCTGAGGAGAGAGGTAAACAACCGTCAAGGTCGCACAGGAGCTGCTGGTGGATTGGGATTCAGGTCAAGTCTCCCTGACTCTGAAGTCCCAGCTTTTGAGCATCTGCCATGTGAGGTCACCTGGTCTAACACGCAAGGACAAAATCAAAACATCAACACTGACACGTAGTAGTTTTACAGAAAACAGAAGAGAATTATGAACATGCTTTGAAGTGGGGAGATCTATTTAAAGCAAGATATAATGCCAATAACCTTTAGAAATGATTGATACCTTTAAATAACATTTGGCATGGTAAATAGTCCATAGGCAAAGTTGTAAAACAAACTAGAAAATATTTGTATTATTTATGTTACAAACAGACTAATTTTCTTAAAATATGTCGAACACCTACAAAATAACAAGAAAAAACCTTCATGAACATATGTAATTTTTTTCCAGCCCATGTAATTGATGCAAGCAGATAGTTCACAGTTAACAGAAAAGGGGATTCAAACAATAGTATGCAATGGTGATCAACATCATCTATATGAGAAGTACTCATTAACGTCAGAATGGCAATATAATTTGCCCTTATCAATTTGGCAAACAGCCAAAGGTTTATTATACATCATCTGTAGGTGCGAAACCAAAATGTTAAAATGTAAATAGGAACACCCTCTGGTGGACAATTTCACAATATCGAACAGAAGTTCAGATGTATGTACCTTCGATGCCATAAATCTGCCTGGTGGTTTGTCCCAATGTGCACACACCCACGTGTGCAAACTCAACACAAGGCTGTTCATAGTGGTGCTGTTTGCAGTGGCGGGAAGTGACCTGACTGCCAGAGAGGCGGGCCAGAACCAGAGCCCCCATGGGACGGCATGCCGCCTTTAAGTGAGACCCTCCGTGTGTATTGACGCAGAGCGCGCTCTGCCTGTGTGGTCATAAGAAAAGGCAAGAAACAGGCAGTGCGCGCGGGGTGTGTGCCTGTACGCGGAGAAACATGCATCCCCTTGTTGCCTAGACTCTCTGGATATATGCAGGAGAGACTGGTAATAATGCTGCCCGTGGGAAAGGTTGCTGGGCAGAGGGAGGCAGTAGGGAGACTGCATGTTCAAATTCTATTTCCCTCCTTTATATTAAACCATATGAATGTATAACTTGTTTACAATTTTAAAAAGTTAAAAGCCACTGAGTGTGGCTGAAATGCAATCTCCTCATCCTCCGAGTAGGATAACACTCTATAAACTGCTGGCTTTGATGGGCTGTCCTGAGGATCATCGGACACTGGGTACCTGCCCGAGCAGCTGAAATGTAGGGACTGGGTGTGTGTTCGTGGGGGGCTGGGCTGCACCTCTCCCCCTGGCAGTGCAAACACCAGGTGAAAGCTGGAGGACTGGCACTTCCATAGCAGGTGGGCCCTCATAAGAGTCCCTATCCCTAATAATAACAGCTAAATACTCAGTGTTGGGGCTTTGTCTATATCATCTCACTTAATCCTTCCAGGAGTCATGAACACGCACAGCGCATGCCAGTGTTCCTATGTGAGAGCTCAGCCAGTAAAGGGGGTACTGGGACCTGAACCCAGTTCTGTTTCACTGCAGAGCTCGTCCCCCAGTGATCTGCCTGCAAGAGCCCAGCCCTGACTCCTCGGAGGCCCTCATGGGGTAAACGTGTAGGTCATGGGGGCCACGCTTCCTGGGTCCCCAGAGCTGCCATATCAAAGTTCCAAAAACTGGTGGACTTAAACAACAGGAATTTATTGTAGCAACAGTTTATTGTATCAACAACTTAAAGTTACTGTTTTTGAGTTATGGAGGTTGAGAAATCCTATTTTGATGAGATTTGGCCAGTTCGGATTCTGGTGAGAGAGGGCTAGTCACTGTGTCCTGGGGACCTGCTGGCCATGCCATGTGTCCTGACGTGTTAGAGGGACCTGGTGGCACAGTCTCGTCCTGATCCTCGGTGTCCACCTCCTGTGGGCCGGGTCAGGCTGTCGGTCCTGCACCCCAGCTGTTAGTCTGCAGGACAGAGTGGCGTCTGTAGCACACCTCTTCCTGCCCTGGGGTGTTGGGGTCTGGGGGTGCGGTGTGGAAGGAAGGGGCAGAGCAAGAGCTGTGAGGAGCCGGGCTAGAGCCTGATGAGGGATGCCGCCTATCTCCTGGGTGGCAGGGGAGGTCCATCTGCCCACTGAGGCAGTCCTGAAGGACCATGGCCTCGGGCCTGGGGGCTGCTGAGCCTGGTGAGGGGGCCCTGGTCCCATGAGTGGAGCTGAAGGGACGGGGGTGAAGGCCTGACCCGGAGGAGACGCCCGACTGATGAGTTAGTGATTAAGTGAACACCAAGAGGGACCTGAGACACTTCTGCCCATGCACACTGGGTGGGCGGCTCTGTGTGTCCAGTGGGAGGCAGGACGGGACACGCACAGCAGGAGGGGGGCAGGCTGCCTGGGGAGGACTCCCTGTTGTGGAGAGGGGTCTGGGGCCCTGGCAGCCCAGCTCACCCTGACCTGCTGGAGGGTGGTTGTTCCTCCTTCAGAATAAGGTTGTTCTGGGGCCCTTTCCTGGGTCCTATCCTTTCCTACCCTGGTCCCAAGGTGGGAGAAAAAAGGGTATCGGGTTCTGGAATGTGTCTGAACAGGGAGATGGGCTCTGGAGGGGGGGCCCTGAGGGGCTGAGTCCAATGGCCTCAGTTCTGCAGAGTGACCAGGAAGAACACTCCTGGCCTCTCAGGGCCTCGGAGGGGGACAGTGCTGTCTGGGTGGAGGGCCCAGTGGAGCTCACAAAGGGTCGGTTGCTCCCTAGCATTCTCTGTTTTTGGCGTTGAGCTGGGGCCTTGTGACTAGTTCTGGCCATGAGCAGAGATCAGCTACCTCTGGAAGATAAGGTGACGCCCTGTGTGGGATTCCCCTGCCTCCCTCCCTGCTGTGGGCTGAGAGCCTGTGAGGAGGCTGAGGGCCCACGTGGTGCGGCCCCAAGGTGATGGAGCCCCATGGGTGACAGGACCACTCCCACCCTCCGTCATGGGCCATGTGGAGGAAGGTCACCCCCTCGTTCTAAGTTCCTGCAGTATTACGGCCCAGCCTGCAGGCGCTGGGCAAGGAGGGTCCCCTTCACCACTGAGTTAGTTACCTATTGCGGAGGAACCTGCCCGTGCTTAGTTCCTTAGTGCCTTCAAACCACACCAGAGACAGTCTCACGGTCTCTGTGGGTTGGGACCCTGGGGTAGTTTAGCCGGGCCTCAGGCTCAGGGTCTCTCAGCCTGAATCACTGTCCCGTCTGAGGCTGCAGGCAGCTCCCGGGGCAGTGGGAAGGGTCTGCTTCCAAGGCCCTGGTGGGATTGCTGATGGGGCGGAGTGCCTGTGGCTGTCGGGATGAGGGCCCCAGGTCCCGCCTGGCTGTGGGCAGAAGGCCGCCCACAGTGCCTGTCACGTGGGCCCCTCCTTAGGGCAGCGGACACTCGGGCAGCTGGCTTCATCAGGGCGAGCAAGAGAGAAAAGGAGAGGGCCAGGGAACAAGACGGAAGTCCCGGGCCTGTATGACCTGCATGGCTGGGAAGTCCCCTCCCTTTGCTGTGTTCTGCTCCTTGGAGGCAAGTCCCCAGGCGCTGCCCACTCCCCAGGAGAGGGTGTGGCCCTGGGGAGGGAGGGGTTCTGCAGCCACATTAGCAACTGCCTCCTATAGTTACACAGTTGGTGTGCTGGGTGCCTTTGATCCGTGACCTCATTTAATTCCCACTATGCATACGAGGCAGGAAGGGGCCTGCAGGTCAGCCAGTGTGAGTAACCTGGTGAAGGTCACAGTCCAGTAGACCCAGGACTTTACTACAGAATTGCTTCACATTCATTGTACTCTGCTGCCTCCAAGAATTAAGGGCAGATATTGCCTTGATTTCATTAAGAAGATGGGTTGTGTGGTTTTCTTTATTATTCTTACTGAGAAAATGCTCCCATTTCCCGTGTTCATGCCCTAGGTGCCTGCAGCACTGTGGCCAACAGCTCCGGAGCCCACGTGTTTCTGAACAGGACCCAGGGAGGCTGTGTGTTGTTTCACGCGGCCAGGGAGGCAGGAGCTGAGCTGAAGGAGATCTCGTGGGGCTTCGGCCCTGATTCAGCGTACACAGTCATCCTGCGGGTCCATTCTGGCGCGGACTCTCCCACCTGGGTCAGCCTCCGGGACAAGTATGAGCACAGGGTCCACGTGCCCAACATGACGTCCCTGAGGATCGACAACCTTACGCGCGAGGACAGCGGGCAGTACCGGGCTCGAGTCAGCCTCACTGCAGGAAAAGAATTTAACAGGAATTTCCACCTCACTGTCTATGGTATGTGACAGCCCCTGTCTCCATTCCATGGTGATGCCCTACTTTTGTCCCCAGGAGTGTCACTTAGGCCACATTTTGTGGGATTCCCTCCAGAACAGGCCTTCAGACTCTATCGCTCCCCTGAGGTTAAGGTGAGTGGGGTCACCACAATGGGGAGCAGAGATGAGATTCAACATGGGAGAAAACCACAGTGCTTTGGGAGAGCAGAATGGAAAATGGGGGCAATGGAATTATTGCCATAACATTTAATTTTGTGTACAGGACTAAGTTTACTCAATTTGATTATTAATTTTTTATTTCTTCTATAAAAATTATGTAGACTTAGGGGTTCAAAACAACACTAATTATTATCCTTCCTTCCTGTAGGTCAGAGGTCAGACAGGCCCCCTGGGCTAAGGCTCCAGGGGAGGGAACGGCTTCTGTCCTGCCCACCTTCTCGGGGCTGCCTGTGCTCCTTACCTGGGGGCTGCCTCCCTGTCTTCAAGCCGGGGATGGCAGACCAGCCCTCCTCCCCCTGCAGGCCTCCCCCCCTCCCCTCCATCCCCACTGTTAGGGACCCTTGTGGTTCCCTGGGTGCCAGCCTCATAATCCAGAGAGTCTCTGTTTTAAGGTTGACTGATCAGCAGCCTTAGTGCCACCTGTGCCCTCAATTCCCCTTTGCCATGTCACCTAAGATATTGGTTCTGAGGACAAGGACGTGGGTGTCTCTGGGCCACTGTTCACCCACCCCAGCTGGGACCCACGTGCAGCTGGTCCTCCGGTTCCCACCTCTGACTCCGCACCAGCCTGAGGAGGCCTCACTCACGGTGACCCCACCAGCCCAGCTCTGAGCCCCGCATTCACGGGGACCCCACCAGCCCAGCTCTGAGCCCCTCAGTTGTGGGAAAGGTTACCCTGCAGCCCTGCCCAGCCTCAGAGAGCGGCTCCTTGTCCCTCAGGTTCCTCTCTGCGCAGGGCGGCCTCCTGTTTGGAGGAGTGGCAGCTCCATCTGTAGGTCCCTGAGTGATGTCTAAGAGCGACTTGCCCATCTGTCACTTGTGTGTGAGGCTCACCCAGCGGCACGTGCTCACGCACTTGGGGCTGTCCTTCCTGTTCGCTGCCACCATGCCTCCCACAGCGGCTGGGCACCAGGGCCCTTCTGGGCTCTCAGAGCTGCTGATGCCCCCTGCCTGGGGGCTGTGCAGCCACGGGCATCATCCCAGGAGGAGGACAGACAGGGCCCTGCCCCAGCACAGGGCCTTCAGAGCCAGACGTCTCCCTTGCAGGAAAGACCCAGTTTCTTTGTAACAATTAGTCCTGGAAGGTGAGGCCCAGCATTTATTTTCTTGTGGGAGATTTTTAAAGTCTTGCTCAAACTAGGGAAATCATAGGCCTTAACTCAGTGGGCACCTTCCTTGTCCCTGTTGTATATTTGGCTCTGGGGCAAACTGGGTTTTATCTAAAATGTACTCGCCATCCTTAGAGTGTAGGGGTCAGAGCCCAGGGAGATCCCGGATGGGAAAGTGAACTGTCATGTCCGCCACTCATGTGAGCCTCCGTTCCTTTGTCCTTCCCGCCCAGCACCCGTGCCCCTTCCCCAGATCTGGGTCACTTCCTCATCCATCACACCAGGCTGGTGCAACGTCACCTTGGAGTGCAGGGCCCAGGGGGCCATGGAGGACCTGAAGGTGACCTGGGAGAGCAAAGGCCTCCCCGAGGAGCTGGAGCAGAGAGGGATCCCGGGACCAGCCCCCAACTCGTGGACCCTGGATCTGAGCCTGCCACTGAGCCAGCCCAACCCCAGGCTCACCTGTGTGCTCAGCAACCCGCTTGACCAGAAAACTGCCACCACAGACCTTGGGGCCATCTGTGTCCCTGGTGAGTGCTGCCTGCCAGCAGGGAGGGCACTCTCGGAGCACAGGTAGCCCTGGGGTGAGGCTCTGGGCTCTTCTCCCTGCCATGCGTGTCAGCCTCCCCTTCCACCTGGTCACCCCACACAGGGTCTGGGGGGCACATCCACATGGCTGCTGCTTCTAAATGTCTGTAATACCCATGCCTACCTCCCCACCCTGACCCTGGCCCTGACAGGCCTCCACTGCATATCTTATTCCAACTGAAGGATCCCCTTAGGCACTGTGATTTATGGGCTGTGATCACGCTGCCCCATAAAGCCCTGTGCTTAGAAGGGCTCTGCTGTCTTATTCTGAAATTTTTAATAATTTTTGAACAATGGGCTCCTCATCCTCATTTTGCACGGGGCCCTATGGGTCCCATAGCCGCCCTGCCCTTAGGTGTCAGCTCCTTTGAGGAGCTGCCCAGGGTCCCCCCATACTGAGCAGCAGTGGTCTGTTCGTGGATTCATCCCCTCCATCGCTTGGTACCCCAGGGCCTTGTCATGTTCTCCTTTGAGTCCCTGTGCAAGCACAGCCTGAATGATTGACCTGGTTCCCTGCATGCAGCTCCCCTCCTCTAACCCATCCACCAAGTGCTGGGGCACCTGATGTGTCAGCAGCGCACAGAACCCCTGTTCCCTTCCCCTCAGCCCTGTTCTGAGTCTCACATAACACCTAAAAGTCAGCCTGACCCACAAGCCCTGGAAACAGACTCTGCCTCCTCTGATCCCCTGGCCTGCCTCCCCCCTGCCCGTCCGTCTCCTGCCTGTCCCAGTGGGAACTGCTGACCCCAGGGCTGGCGATGTGATCCCAACAGGCGGCTCCTCCTTCCTGTAATGGCCTGCCTGCCCTGAATATCTGAGGAACTCCTTCTCCTCCCTCAACACGTTCTTTACCCATCACCTCCTCTGGGACGCCCTCCCTGAAGACCTGTGTACAAGGAGTAAGCCTCTGTTGCACTGGGATCCCCCTGGCTGCAGCCTCCCCCCCAGGAAGGAGCTTCTCAAGGACATGAATCACGTCTTGCTCATCTCAGCGTCCCTGCACCAAGCAGGAGCTGGGGACCTGACTGAATGCACGAGCATCCGTGCTCCTCCCCTTCTGCTTCTGATCCAGGACCCCTCAGGCTTCTCTCCTGCTCTCTCTCTGTCTCCTTGGCAGTGGGTACCCGAGCTCTGTCTTTCCTTAATCTTCTTGGTTCTCTGTCTGTGAGGGAAGCAGGTTCACATGCACAGACCAGTGCTCGCACCCTGCCAGGCATCCTGGGGGCCACCGTCACTGTGCTGCTCATCCTTGGAGCTGGACTGTGGCTTTGGAAGATGCGTGGGAAGAAGAAGAAGATGGAGACCGGGAGAGGCAGGTGGCTCTTGTCCTCGCAGCCCAGCCACCTCCCTTCTCCCATTGTACCCTATATGCTCTCTTTCTCCTGCATTTTGCTGCTCTGGGAATGTCCCAGAAGAGGGGAGAGTGGGTGTGGCCATGACCTTGGGGTTCACAGCAGTGGGGGAGGGTAGAGGTCTCCATGGCCCAGATTCAAGCTCCGCTCCGTGTGTGACGCAGGTGCAGGACTGCAGGAGGCGCACAGGGACGAGGACGGTGGCGTGCACTACGCAGAGCTGAGCCCGCAGGTGCCTCATGAGGGCAGGGACAAGGTGAGAGCTGGGAGCGCTGCCCCGCCTGGCTCTCCTGCCCCTCTGGGCCTGGACTGTGCTGGTCACCCCAGTCATCTGCTGTTTCTGACCCCACTGCCTCTTTCTACTTTTTCCTGACAGTCAACAGTGTAACTAAGAAAATTCACATCTGGGGCTGGTGGAGTGCCGGGCGCTCTGGGGGAACGATGTGCAGTGTGCGTCAGCAGCCTAGGCTCCAGGTGGGCCCCTCTATCACGCAGCTGTTCCGGGAACCCTCTGTCACTCTGCTTTTGCAGGAACCGTCTGGGTCGCACCCCCAGGGTATCGGTGAGCAACATCTGCAAGACATAGAGCCTCTCAAGTCTGTCTACAGTGTGGTCCATAAGCCAGGCCAGGCCATGAAGATGATTTAAGGGGAGGATGCAGGAGAATCCAGTCCTCCCGGGACACCTCCACCCTGAGCTGATCCCTGCAGACGCAGCCTCTCGCAGCTCTGGTCCAGCTCCAGCTGCCCCTGGTCTGTGTGCTGTGACCCTGGAGCCCTCAGATCCCTACGTGCATGTGGCCCGGCCATTTCCTCTGACCCTCCCCAAGCTGCCCTCCCCTCAGCGTCCTCAGCCCTGCAGGATGAGGGCTCTTCCTGTCGTGGACTCGGCTCCTGGCCCCTGTCCTCCTGCAGCTCCCCATGCGGACCCTCCTGACTGCACATGGCAGCCTCCACGGCCTCTGCTGCATGTCTTTCTGAGAACATGAGCCCAGGCATGGGCACTGTAGAGATGTTGACTGTCCACAGAGGAGGGAGGTGGGACCTGGCTTCAGGATGCAGAGTTGGGGGTCTGTGGAGGCAGCATGGGAGGGTGGGGCCCGGAGGGTGGGGCCCCTAGAGGGACTGGCCCGGGGTCGCGCTGCCCCTTGTGCACAGCTCCCGGGCAGAGGGAGCAGTGTGTGCGTTGGGAGGAGTGTCCAGTGCACACTGTACACAGGCCACGGCCTTCCTTCTGGGCCTCGGCCGCAGCCCGCCTTCCTGCGGAGTGCGCGGGGGATGTGTCTGCTCTCAGGGTCTGCTGAGCCTTCTCAGAGAATAGGTTCCACTCAATAGGCTGTACATGATTTTCTCATTTAAAACTTCAACAGTTCGGTGAGGAGGCATCCCCAATGTACCAGGAGCTCAGAGTCCGTAGTAGCTGTAGGAAAAGAGCGTCAGATGTTCCTCTGTTGGGATGGACACTTGGTGGTGGGGTGTCGTCCTGCCTCTGCTGTGGGTGTGAGGGTGAGCCTGGGGAGGGGATCCAGCTCTCCCACTCCCCGGGGGCCTCAGCAGACGGAGCCCCAGCACAGAGGCTGCTGAGTGTCTCGTGAGCCCACATGTCGGTGGGGGTGGATGGGATGACCTCCGTGACCCTGCCTGGCCCCGAGGTTCTGAGTGGGCTCTCCCCACCCCTCCTGCAACCTCACGTTGCCTGAGGACCTGAGGCGGCCTGCACTGTGGTGCATGGGAGCGTCTGCCCTCCCGGGGTCCTCCCGCCTCAAAGCCTCTGCCTCCTGCAGCTCTTGGGTCAGAGATGCACTCACTCTGGTCCCGGGCACTTAGTACCTTGTCTGCTGGCCTGGACTCCTGGGCGTCTTGGTTCCCTTCCCAGCTCAGCTCAGCTGCTTCATCTCTGACCTTAGAAAGCAAAATTCTGAGCTAGAGGCTTGGGCGTTATGAAGCAATGCTCCTGTCCTGCTCGACGGGGCCTGGATAGCGGAGGAGGAGGCGGATCAATAAAGCGGCTCTTTCAGACCTCTCCCGCCTCAGGCTGAGCAGGAAGCTGAAACAAAAAGCTAACATCTCCTTTCTGGAATCCCAGGTGAGTGGTCGTGGCGGAGTATCAATGTCCATCCACTCAGGAGCAGTGAAAGATATGACCACCCACTGACCCTTCCCACCCAACCTGAAGCAGAGAAGAAAAGGAAGAGAACTGGCCTTTCAAAGCCTATAATGAATGAGGCTTTTTCCTAGGCATTTTACAGAAATTATTCCCTCTGTATGCTCCCAAGAACTCTCTAGGGTAGGTATTATCATCCCCAGTTTGCAGGACAGGTTCCTAGCATCCCAAACTAGCTGGTGACAGAGCAAAGCCTTCAGTCCAGTGCTGGATGATTCTAGTGTCCACATCTTACCCTTTACCACATGGTCAGTGAAGAACTTGGGATCCTGGAATGTTCAGAAAGGAATACCCTCCATTCCTTCCTCTCCCAAGGATCCTGGTCTTCTGACTCAGGTGCTCCAACTTGTTTTGAGCCCATCCTGATGATGGATGGAGCCTGTGGTGGTAGAGAGGGGAATTGCCCCTTATGTGGAGAATGGGGCCTTGGTGGTGGGACACGTGGAATGAGGGACCTCGCCCTCTGGTGCAGATGAGACATTCAGAGATGACGTCCTTTCCCTGGAGTCTTGCAGAAGTTCCTTCTCCTCTGAACAAGGTATGTTCAGCATCCCCATCCTTACCAGCTAGCCTTTGCATTATATTCAAAACTCCACTCAATAGGCTGTACATGATTTTCTCATTTAAAACTTCAACAGTTCGGTGAGGAGGCATCCCCAATGTACAGATGGAAAAATAAAATCCAGAGAGGTTAAGCCCCTCACATGAGTTCTCCTGAGTTAGAGTGATGCAGGCATGATGTGAGGCCACACGGATGGTAATTTTACTCATTTGATCCTTTTTCTCCCTCATCCCAGACACCCAACCTGTCACCATGCTCCACGGGATTATCCTTCCTAATGCTTCTTGGACCCCGTCCTCCTCTCATCCTTCCATTCCCACCTTCCTTCCACCTTTAGCTGCACTGTTTTTACATTTCCGCCAGCAATGGATGGGGATCTCTCCACATCCTCTGCAACTCATTTTTCGATTGTAGTCATCATAGTGGGTGTGAAGTGGTATCTCACTGTGGTTCTGAATTGCATTTCCATGATGACTAGTGATGTTGAGCATGTTTTCATGTGCATATTGACCATTTGTATACCTTATTTGGAGAAATCTCTTCTTCTCTTGAATTGCCCCACCTTTCCATTGAATCTGCAGCAGTCGGGGTCACCGGGGAACTCCAGATTGGTAAATCTGGTGGTCAGCTCTCAGTCCTCATCTCCTGGAACCAGTTTACAAGCAATGGACTTGCCCTTCCTTGAAAAACTGCCTTCACGTTGCATTCACCACTCACTGTTCACTTCTTCCTACTCAGCTGTTGCTCCTTAGTTTCGTTATCCTTTTCCTCCCCAGCTCCCCTGACTTAATTTTGGAATATCCTAGGGTTCGTACCCAAACCACCGAGACCACCTCTCATCATTAGGTATACTCATTTTCTTTCTGATATTATGGACACGCACTAATCCCCAGATTCTGTGACTATGTGACCTCCAATGTCAAAAAGGACTTACAGACGTGACCCCTCTCCTGGACTCCACGTTATGTCCCACTGTTTGGACATACCTGACATCTCCACTTGCATGGAAAACAAGCACCTCCAGCTTGTCATGTTTAAATTTAAACTCACACACGTGCTTCCCACACATTTTCCCACCCCTAAAACTGTCACTTCCATCCTTCCATTTTTCTGGCCACAAAACTTTGGTGTCATGCTTGATGTCTTCCTTTTTCTCACACCCTACTCCCTATCAGTACATACTGATATCTTTCCTCCTGTATATATATATATATATTCAAATATTTATTTTCATAATAAAATACCTCTCACAACCTCCCTGGCCCAGTAAGGTTATCATTCCTCACCCAGATTACTGGAGTAGCTTCATATCTCCCTACTTTGTTTTTTAATCCCTTAGCATCCTGTTTTCAAAATTATTATCCAGAATGATCTTTTTCAAACCTAAGTTGCACCTTAGCTGAGGACTCCCCGATGGGTCCACTTCATCTGCAAGGCCCTGTACCACGTGACCTTATGTCCCATGCTCCCTTTCTCCTTTCATCCACACTGGGCTTTCTGCCTTTCCTTCCATACACATTGCATGCTTCTGCCTCAGGGCCTTTGCTCTGCCAGGAGTCTCTTCCTCCAGGTATCTGCATATCTCTTTCCCTGACCTCCTGCACGTTTTGTGCATATGTTACCTTCTCAGTAAGGTCTAGCTGACTTCCCTATTTAAACCTGCATCCTTCCCCTGGAGCCCTCCCTCCCCCTTCATGCCCTATTTTCTTCACTGCCCTCCACAAGGTTGTGAGTCAGGGTGAATTTAACCTGGGCTGTACTTTAAAGACGAGTGGGTATTGAGGCCTCAAGGTGTCAATTTCAATCTTATTATGCAAATACTATTATTATTTCCAGGAAACTGCAACATTGATAAGTTGCTTGTCCAAGTTCACATAACTAATAAGAGTTGAGACTGAAATCTTGTAGCTGGAATCTAAAGCCCTTGCTCGTGACCACTCTATACTGGGTAAATGAAGTATAGTCTGTCCACATGATGGATTAACATTTATGTAATAGGAACGATAAATAACATTTTTATTTATTTAAATAGAAAGCTGTCCTTGAAATATTAAGTGGATTATGGAACAATGTATGTGGTATTATCTTGTATTATAAAGGCATATAAACATATGTTTGTGTAAATAAAAAGGAAGTCTAAAAGCTGATATGTCAAGAAGGTAACTGGTTATCTTCTGAAGTCTGTTTCTTTTTCCAAATCATTAAATTATGACACTAATCAAAAAAGATGATCTTTTACAATGTTTCAGCAGGGCTGTGATAGGCTCAGAGCTGTGCTTCAGACAGATAAAGCCACCTGTGTGCCAGCAGGAAGCTTGTCATGGAAACCAGTGAAAGTATTTATGCTCATTTTCACTTTCTGTTGTGTTGAATTGGTGGCTTCAGGATCTTTACTGAAATAACCCCAAGCACATCTGGATTTGTCTAGATAGTAAAGACAGAGTAAAAATTTAGGTATAATTGATCCAAATGGAAACTCCCCACGGATTGCTCACAACTCTGGCTGTTCCTTAGATGAACTGGGGAGCATTTAAAAACAGATGCTTGGACTCTATCCCCAAACGAAGCATCATCTGTATTTAAAAAACTCAATAGTTGATTCTGATGCATGATCAGGATTGAGAACGGAAGCACTGGGTCTGCACGAAGTTTTCACAAAGTTCAAAAGGGAATGTGCATGGCAAGGACAGGCCGAGGGTTTGTGTTCCAGGATGTTCCTCAGTGTGTGTCAGTCCACAGCCCAGTAATGTGGAGGGAAGGAATGGGTGACTGACAGGGCCGCACAGGTTGGCATTACTTGCTTGTGTTCACCACGGTTCACACTGTGATGCGTAGACTACGAGACAGAGGCCAGAAGCTCCATTACATCCATTGCTGATTTGCCTTGGGGAAGAAAACCTTGCTGGCAAATGTCAAAAGGCACAGACAGACAAAACCAGAATGTTTAGTAATTTATAGTGAGACGTATACTTGCTAACTGGGCTGGATATGCCTGTTAGGCCGACCAGGGCATCCTCCTCCCAAAGACAAGCCAGGCAGGAAGTCAGGGTATCGCCTGGGAAGCCCTGAGTCCGGGCGGGCGGGTGAGCAGCTGCTCCTGGGGTGGATTCCGGAGGCCTCGGGGCTGAGCTCTGCATCTCCACGGTCGCGTTTACCTGCCCGGGCCTGGGACTCTCCTGCCAGGGTGACAGAGCCCCTCATTTGTCTCTGTCGCTCTCCTCTCTTTATGCTCCATTTCTTGCTAACGAACTCCTGACTGACATATTCTTTCTTTGCTCATGTGCATGTGTGAGATTAGTCTTGCTCTGCTCTCTGAGCGGGAATCTCTGTACCTCTCCTGGGATCCAGATAAGTGGTGTTTTATTTAATCCCCAAAAGCAAAAACGAAAGAAAAAAAGAAACCCATCGAAAATATCCACTCTTATTTTTCTCATTTCCAAATGTAATAGAAGGTGTGGAAGGAGAGGACATGTCCTCAGTGTGCCATGATCTGCCAACTGAATGAGCAAATTGCTTTTGTAAACCAAAACAGACCCAAAGAGAAGAGCTGTGAACTGGTTAATGGATCCTGTAGCTCTCAGGGCTGGAGTCTTCACCCAATTTATCACTTAGCCTTCCTGCAAGATTCTCTTATTGTAAAACAGCAATAAAGGAAGAAAACTCTAAGAAAATGTGTATGTGATTAATGTCCATTCATTTAAAAAAATCTTTATTAAATGGACAATTCTAGAAAAATATGCATTGCTAAAACTGATTTATATGTGGATGTAAACCTCAAAAAACGACCAAAGAACATATTGAAAACTTAGAGAAGTGTGTTTTCTCCTTTGATGTCATAAGGGCCAAATTCTACTACTGGTGAACTCCTCAAATCTTAAGAGAATAAATAATTTTTGAGCTAGAAATGTATTTTAAAATTTGGCAGACAATAGAAAGCTTTCATGTATGATTCTGAAAATTTGACAAGCATAAAAATTAATATAGAGTCCAGTCCGGCCGTCCAGGCTGCCTGAGCGCCTCCCGTGTCCCTGCCTCCGCTGGGGCCTCTCGTGACGGAGCTCCCAGCTTCCCCAGGAGCCCGAGGAGCAGAGGCCTTGGGCCAGCACCGCCCACAGTGATGGAGGAAGAATAGGCGCCTCGTCCCTGTTGGTCAGAACGGAGATGGCATAGAGCTTGTTGGGACAAACCCGGGCTGGCTGTGCCCCCTGCGGCCACTGGCCCAGTGCTGGGTCCTGCCCCTCCTGGGTCTGGGGACACTGGGGCTTCAGGGATCGGAGATATCCTATGGGATTTGGTAAAGACACTTTCCTGGATTAAGGCTGTCACACTGGAAGGACACTCCACACGGAGTCCTACCCGGTCCCGAGCCTCTGACAACCCACGGAGTGCCTGTGCCTGTGGTTACCCTCCACCGGTGGCAGGGACCTCACCGCGTCCCACAGCACCTCTTCCGGCTTGGGTGGCCCTGGCTACAGGAAGCCCTCCCCTACTGTCATCCTTGGCTGCCCCCCTCCTCTGAGACTGGTTTCCTTCTCCAGGTCACTCATGACAAATCTGACTCCGTGTCCAGCCAGGGGCCCTTCAGGTGGGATTCGGAGCAGAGCAGGGATAGTATCAGGGCCCCACACAGCTGTGTTCTCTGCGTAAAGCTCCTAGCTCACCCTCCCCTCCCACACAAAGCTTCCTGGGAGACACACCACGCTTGTCTGTCTGGTATCCCACCTGTGTCATCCCAAGGCCTGGGGGACTGGATGTCACATTTCTTGGGAATTGAGAGTGCCCTCCTTCCCCCAGTCGCCTGGGAAAAGAGTGTCCATGGGGGTGGGCTCACTGGCCCTGCTGGGCACGTTCTTGACCCCAGCAGAGTCCCCAGCATCCAGGAGGGCCGTTTTCTTGTCCCTGGAATTCTAACCACACAGACTGGGGAGGCGTTGGGCTGGCTGTGAGCCAGCTTCAGGGTCCTGGAGTTGGGGGCTGGCCCCAGGCCCCTCCCTGCTCCAGCTCCCTGGGGAGCCCTTGGTTTCCCAGGTCAAGCTGAGGTTCTGTGTGGTCCCAGTGGCTCTGCACTGCAGGGTGAGCCTTCCCCAGCCTGGTGTGATGGTCAGTGACCAGGATCTGTGGGTGGGTTTAGGGATCTTGGTTTGCTCTGGGGCAGGAGGTGACGAAAGAATATTATTGGATGAACAGGCAGAGCACAGGGAATATGGTGTAGTGAAAATACTGTGTATGAGACCGTGACGGTCGGTACATGTCAGTGTACGTTTGTGCAGACACATACCATGCTGAGCACCCAGAGGGAACTCCCGTGTGAAGTATGGACCGCAGGTGATGGTGATGCGTCAGTGCAGGTTCACTGACTGTCAGAAACATACCCTCTGAATAGGATTTCCATCCTGGGGGAGGCTGAGCGTGGGCGGGGGCAGAAGTTAATGGGAACTCTGGGCACTTTCTGTCTGGTTTTGTTATAAACTTAAAAACCCAAAACTGCTTAATAGTCTATTAAATATATATACAAAAATCCATACAAATCTATCTTTCTAGATACATATACATGAGAACTAATTAAAAGGGGGCTCTAACAACTAGTTCACAGGGTAATTCTGAAGGCCCATTAGGGAATGCATTCAAAGCACCTCATATAGTATCAGAACAAAACAGAGTGGGCACTTCAAAAGTGTTAGCTGAATAAAAAGTGAAAGATACAAATAACAATAGTAACAATAATGAAACAAATTTAGAATAACAGACATGACTATGTTTTGTGCTGAGTTTTAAAAACTAATTTAATTTTGTTATTGTTGTGTTTAAACCTTCAGCCTGTTGGTAACAGAGTATAAAATCATCTCTCTTCTCAGCCGACTCAGTAGGAATTGGCATGGTTACCACTGTTGTCGTCTATGACATTTTTCAGAATTTCCTGGTTTTACTCCTCAGCACTCCTACAAATGTCTCCAGCAACTGAAGTTACTCTTGGACCAGCAAAAACTCACCTTAAAATGAAAAAAATTAAGAATTTTATTGCGCTTGTAGAGCCTCATTACTCATCCACTGCCTTATTGAGTTTCAGAGCCCTTTGCTAGGAAGGCAGGACATTTAGCAAAGAAACTGAGGCTTGGGAGGTAAGACAGTTTACCCAAAGTCACGCCATGGGAAAGGGATGGAGAATCCCAGTTTCAGAGAAGGGAGGACAGCCACACTCTCTTGGCTCCTCCACCCCCACGCCCCTGACCACACCAGAGCCAAGTTCACCTCCACTTCCCCCCAGACCCCTTCACCAGATCCTCCTCAGGACCCGCAGCAGCAGAGGGCAGGTGTGATCAAAACCCTTGGGGAGAATCCTCCACAGGCAGAATTTGCAAAGGAAGGTATGAAAACTGGTTTTGAAGCTGCTAAGCTCTCACCTAAACCGAAGGCATCACAGAGCAGGATTTGGAGATAAGGGGGAGGAGACTCTGTGTGGCGAGAGCTATGGTTTGATCCCCACCCTGACTCTATGGGGGAAAGTCACACCTGAGAAAGCCAAAGGGAGAGATGCGCTGGCAGAGCTGGTGACGCCTGCTGCAGTGAGGCCTGGGCCCTCTGACCTGCCCCCTTCTCAGTCAGGCACTTTCTGGTGCACACCCACCCCCAGCACTTTCTTTCTTCTATAGGGGATGTGTGAGAACTTCCGAATCTCCCCATCATCATTGCCCAGTTTAATGGGACTTGTCGCACTTCTTAGGCTCTTTGTCTGCAGACCCATTATGCCTCAATTTCTACCCCAGAAGATGCCCTGAGAGATGACCTGGCATTCCAGATAAACTGTTAGGAGGGGTCCTGTCCCCTCTGCTATTGTAGTCCCTCCACGTATCTGGAGTTTCCGTCACCTGGC